AGTGCCTTCAGTTAGTAGAGCTGTCATCATTTCTCAGAGGAAATAGTGACTCCAGAGTGCAGGTATCTGTCCTTCTGATCAGCTTGCAATTTTCTTTGATTATTGTCCTGGCATGCCTTAGTGTTTAACCATTTACATTTCTTTAAATAATTTCCTTCCCTGTTTTTTTTGTGTGCATTAAATTATGCACTTTAAAGTGTATCTTCCTTAAGTTGTACCATTCATAAGGTAGCCTCTCCTACAGCTGCTAAAGTTAAGGGAGCTGCCTCTTCCCTTCTGCTCAGCCGTGGTGAGAACACATCTGGAGCACATCTGGAGCACTGTGTCCAGTGCTGGGCTCCCCGGGGCACAAGAGATGTGGGCAGACTGGATGGAGAGAGTGCGGCGAGGGGCCCAAAAGATGATTAATGGCCTGGAGCAGCTCTCATATGAGAGAGCTGGGGCAGTTCAGCTTGGAGAGGAGAAGACTCTGGGGGGATCTGCTTGAGAAGGATCTCCAGAAGTGGTTTCCCACCTCAGCTGTTCTGTGATTGGCAGAACTTCTAAAGTGCTCAGAGCTTGGATGAAAAGATTAATACAGCCATGTGGCATAAATTTAAACCTGTCACGTCATCACTTTGCTACCATTTTCCTCCAGGTCATCAGCATCTTTTCTTATGCCAAGACATTCAGGACCACATGCAGTAAGTCAGCACAGTCATGCCATGCAATGAGATTGTTAAAATGTTTCCATCCCATAAAATGCTTGTTTTAGATTATACGTTATTTAGTGTTCTTCCGTATATTAATTTAAGTTGATTTTCCCCCCTGAATTCTCTAAATTAGTCATAGTAAATTACACTAGATAACATTGTATCCAACAACACTGATCAGAGAAGCACCTATTACAAACTCCTCCTTCCAGTATTTATGGACTTGATATTAATTTATATTTTTCTTTGTCATTTAATTACTCGTCTGTATGAACATGTCAGTAGCGGAGAAATATAAGTATTTTTTCATGGATTTATGGACAACATTAAAGAATATGCAGCATACAGCAAAACTGATTGCACATCTCTAGTATCTGCAGTGTAGTGATTGAAATCACTGGAATTTCCTGCACATTTCTAGAAATCAGTCTTCTAGGGCTGGAATCTTGATAAGAGTTTAAAGCCTAATTTCTGTCCCCTGTTTCTAAAAAATCTTGATGTTTAAGCTTACAATTTATGGGAAAAATTGCTATCACTTATCAAGCTCTTGGCTCATGCTACCAATCACTGCATTCTTTAATGAAATCCCTCAGTGTTATTGGTTCTTATCAGAACTAGAAGGGACTAAATAACCCCACACTTACCATGCACACTCCAAACTGCATCATAATTTTCTCTGGCAAATGACAGCAATGAACAAGTCTTGGCAAAACCTCAGACAGAAAAGAAGTTTAAAAATGAATTGGACCATCATTTATTTTGAATGATATGGCAATAAACCAATAACTCAATGGATCACTGAGCAGCTACAATTATAAAGCAGGAGAACTCGGCACAACAAGGAAACAGGACAAGGAGCACCCACCTTTTTAAATGCCAAAGAGATAACCATCTTTTAAAAGTCAATGTTTTATAAAAGAGATGGTGTAACTATGTCATTTTTCCAATAATGTAATGTAACTTACCTGGGGAAAATGGCTTTGCCAGTTGGCTGTTAGAGACCATTACTGATCTCCGTGTTGCTCAGTGGTTACTGAAACGGAAAGGCCATTTAGCAAGTGAAGGCAGTAAAGCAGCCAGTGTGATGGCTGTCAGTCTTTCACTTGCATTTCATCTAACCAAAGGTGGGAAAGGTTGCAACCAAAAGTAAGGATAACTGCATGGAGTTCAACTGGAGCACATCTCTGGAGCACACGCTGCTTCATCCCACATCTGCTTGACAGCTATCCTGGGAGCAGATAAGCCATTTCTGAAGGTTATCCCTTCTTCTTGTTGGCTGCAGAGGGAGCTGAGATGCTTAGGTGGGACTAGATATTTAACATTTGTTGATGCCAGGCGAAATGATTCTTTCCCTGAACATCATGTGTGCGAAAGTCAGTATTAGCAGAAGTAAAAAGGCAGTATGTTAAGCTGACGACTCTTGGAGTGTGTGTGCTTTCAGTAGCCATTTTCACTGCTAAAAGACAACCTAGAAATGGGGAGAGGCTAAAGAGAAGCTCAGAAGAAAAGCTTTATTTGGACACCTCTAAAGATTCTGTGTTTTCTCTCTAAGATGAGAGATTATCAAATTCCATTATCAAATTCCCAAGTGGGGAGTTTTTTAAACCATATAATTTAATTAAAATAGAATGTCAAAGGGGAAAAAATGAATCAGAAAAAGCTATTTTTATATCACTGAACTCTATGTTACACTGTAGTATACTGGCAGAGTGCATTTCTAAGGCTTCCTGAGCAATGACATTTCAGCCAAACCCTTTGCAGAGACCAATTATTTCAGGGCTTCACAGCAAAACCCACATGTGCCAATTCTGAGGTCACCACTGAGAAGAGGGAGGAGAAATTTGGATAACAGAGTATATAGGTCAGGGCAATGGTCATTTAGGAGGGATCTCACAAAAATCAGTGTTTTGATCTGCTAAAGGCTCAAAAAGAGATGTTCAGGAGTGTACTGGTGTCCAGCAGACTTCAAAGATCAAAGAAAATACAAGAAAGTAAAGGTTTTATTGAATTACTGGCTCCAAAAAGTGTCTAAATACTTCAGTTGTCTCAAAAAGAGATATGTAGTCATAATCTTGTTCATAATCATTGATATTGCATCCCACAGAGAGGCATATGATTGTATTTCAGATATATTAATGATAGAAAAAAAATCCATTTTGTCTGCAAAATTAAATGGAAAGAGTCTATTTTCTTTGAAACACTCTGGTTTGCCCTCTCCTGGCTTCTGTGTGCTACTTGATTAATCAGAGACAATTTCTCCGTGACTTAACCTAGCCTTTCAACCCTGCTTTTCAGCCTGCACTCCGGCAAGCTTTTGGACAGAAGTAGGGATTCACTATCCTTTAATTCTCTGTTCCTGTCAGCTGTGATGTCTCCTTCTCACAGTCTTTTGTGAGCCAAAGCAGTCAAGTTTCAAAAACAAATGGTTGTAAAACTTCTTCACAACTGCAGCAATTATACCGTAATTATTTGTTTACCCATATTTACATCATTTATTTTGTGCTTTGACTGAATAAATCCTTGCCCGAGCAAATAAAACTGTAATTGCTTTCATTCAGAGCATGTATAGTCCACCTATCATCTGGCTAATTTACTGTGCTCACAACTGTCTCTCTGCATAATGAATTAAATAATAACTTCTTTTTTTTTGATTTCCAAATAATTGAAGTCCCAGTGCAACAAGACAGCTACAGCCTGTCTGTGTTTGGCAAAGTGCATGGGGCTATCTTCACCTTTGGACAAGATAGTAATGGTGACGATACTCAACGTCTCCATCATATCTCCTCTGATAGTCGTCATTCTCTTTAGCCAACTTTGCTTGCAGGGTTGTGCTCCTTATTTGTGAGTGTGAAACGGTAGGCTGATTTAAAAAACAAGTTTTGTCTATGTAGCCTAGATAGGCTTCTTTTTAAAGGATGCTAATGTTACTTCTTGTTTGATTGTTAATATGTCCCATATATCCCCTGGGTTAAAAAAAAGAAAAGAGGTTGGTAGTATAAAGTGCTGCATGCTAAATTCAGTAATCTCACCCAGTAAGAAATACTCAAAAGACCTCCACCAATGTGACGAGGAGAAGTGAGAGGAGTATATTTACTGTTGGAGAGTGAAGACAGGTGGAGGAAGTGGCAAGAGAAAGACACATCTGTGCCCTGTGGAAACATTTAACAGAATTAAATCCAGGGAATCTGAAGAGAGATGTAACTATGTGTAGCGTGACTGCAAATGCAGTTGCATTTTGTACTGTAGTCTAGAAGGCATTTTTGAGGAATGAGTTCAGTAGGAGACTTCGAGAAAAAAAAAGTCTAGATATTGTATTTTGATGGAAAAGAAGAAGATAGGAAGGAGTTTTTAAGACCATGTTATGAAGAAGGAGAAAAATGGCAGACACAGGGGAAAAAAAAAAAAAAAAAAAGGAATCAAGATTCAATGGGGTAAGAGTCAGAATATGACTCAATAGCTAGAGAAATCTTCCCCCCTAAAAAAATGGGTGAGAAATTTAGCACATAAATCATGCCCTGGCTCTTACTCCCAAACCTCAGCCCTTGGAGCTCACAGTGGGAACTGGAGAGCAAGATACAGCGGTGCTTCCCCTGGTATTGCCCCTTCCAGCTGCCCAAAGTTTCTCTTCTATTTTTTTCTGTCCCTTTAAGTTTCTTATGAGAACTGTAACAAATAATGCACAAAAAAAAATCTTAAATTACTGTGAGGATGAGTAGGAGAGTGAAGGCCATAAGGAGATGTGAAATTCCATACTCTGAGCAGAGTCTGTGTCACCTACTGTGAATAAAACACTGAGTGACAGGCTGTATGGGGACGATAAAAAGAAATACTGAGCAGTCATGTTACGTGCTGAGTACTGCTCGTGCTGTGCACTGATCAAAGCAGGGGTCTTGTGGAAAAGCAGTATTTTTCATGGAACTAAATATTGTATCATAATGCTAAACTAGATTTGCACAAACTATGCGATTTCTGGTGTTTTCTGACTCTTCGCATTTCGCCATGTAATAGGCTCTTATACATTTATTTTCTGGTAGAATTGACTCTGTGTTGTTATTAAATATGTTATATCCCTTTAACTTGTTTTCATGTGATATATATGTGGTATTTAGGAATTTACTATCTCAGCAGTGTCATTCACTGTCTTTCCACTCATATATTTTTTAGTACCCTGGGGAGACTAAGTATACACTGAGTAGAAAGAATTGCATCGTTTATGTTAGGACAGATGCACAAAATAAGCGTGCGGGGCCGCAGAACTGAGCAGACCCGTCTCCTGAGTGCGGCTGCTTGCCCGTTAACTCGAATCAGCTCATGGGCAGCTGTGGAGGCCACCCCTGCCCTGGCGTCTCTACGTCCCCAAGGACTCGTGGCACGTGCAGGAGCAAGTGATGCAGCGCGCGAGGCCGGCACGAGCTGCTTCTGCATCTCTCTCCTCTTCCCGAGCTCACACGCTGCTCGATGTCGCCTCCGACCGCCCCGCAGTAATCACATCCTGTCTGGTGGCCTTTTGTGCAAAGGAATGGAGTGTTCAAATGCAGGGGGTTCGTTCCGGCAGCGACGGCGAAGGAATTGCTATCTGTGACACCTGCATTGCAAGGTGCGTTTTTCAGAAAATAGAAAACTGGTTTCTATGTAGGTGAGGGAGAATTTTCCCTGAATGACAAGTGTGCCATCCGATTTCTTCTTTACACTTATGACAAAATGAACAGATCTTTTTTCTTTGTTTTTTTGCTTTGAAATAAGTCATCAACATTTTGAAATAGTTCTCATCGGCATTGCTAAAAAAAAAAATTAAAAAAAAGGCGTCACTATGTGGGCAGATTGATAGAAAACTCTAATAACACAGAAATGGCCAGGCTGAGTCAAGCCAAAGGTCTGCCCAGCCTGATATCCTGCTTCTGACAACAGCCAGCAACTGATGTGCAAGGAAGAGGACAAGAACAGGGCACGCCTGACACACCTGAGTGTGTTCCTTGTGTCTAAAAGTCCAAGGATCGAGAATGTCTTGCTCTGTCTCTGCATTTAATAGCTTCTGATGGGACGTATCTTCATTTTTAATGTCACATTTTCTGTTTAGCTATTTATACAAAAGCTGATTTCTGGAGAACCTTTTTGTAAAGTCAAAGCCAGATTTAAGAGAATTGAGTCCAGTTATAATATTATAGATTAAAGCAGTTGTAGGTCTTCTAGCCAGCATCAGAAGTTACCCTGAGGTTTTTCAAAAACGTTTCTTGGTCTGAAATTTGTTAAGAAGACCCCAACAGACCACAGTGTAGCTGATGTCTGGCGTGCAATAAACTGGTTTGTTATGGTGACTAACAAATAGATTAGTTCAGAGATGGGTATTTTTCCAACGGACATTCATTACCTCTGCACCCTTCAGAAGTTATTAGTGTGCAGTTTTTGTGGGGGACTAGAGCTGCCCCCATGCACATACCCCACATCTAACAGACCACAGTGTAGCTGATGTCTGGCATGCAATAAACTGGTTTATTATGGTGACTAACAAATAGGTTAGTTCAGAGATGGATATTTTTACAATTGACATTCATTACCTCTGCATTAGTGTGCAGCTTTTGTGGGGGACTAGAGCTGCCACCACCTGTAAGAGCCAGCACTGTTAGCGCTGTGGCTAATGTGTCACACTGAATAGTAAGAAATCTTTCAGGAGTACCCAACCTGGATATTCTTCTCTCGTTCCCTGGTGCGCTGCCACTTGCACAGCATGTTATTGTAAATATTTCTTCTTGTTCTGTTGAGAATAATGGGATGGATTAAAAAAAAAAGAAAAGAAAAAGGGGAAAAAAAAAAAAAAGGCACACTGAGGTGGCCCAGCTGCACTGGCAGTTTCTTTTTCCCCCTTACTACTCAGGGAATAATAATGTGACCCTTCACCCTGCTGCACCTGCTGTAATTCCCACTGCTTTTCCAAGTATGACTTCTGGACAATAAATACCTGCTTGTGGTCATCCCTATTCCTATCAGTGAGAGTGATCTTGCTGAAAACAACGTGGAAAATAAAAATGTCTGAAGTGAGCTGTTTTTAGAGATGGGGTTTGCACAAGTATGCTCAATGGTGGTGTATTTATTAAGGCCGTGGAGCAAATTCATGAATAAAGCTCTGTGCACACATTATCTTCCATTCCAGCTAGGCCAAGTCTTAGCTTAGCCAACATATACAGCTGCTTCTGTCTTAAGAGGAGAAAGAAGATGAGAGGGCTAAACAGCATTTGGTGAAAAAAGCAAGCTTTTGTCCTTGTAAACATTTATTTGTAAGCAAAAATATTGCCTTAGAAAAAAAGCAGTTGAAAAGGAACATCATCAAAGCAGAAAAACCAAAAACAGATTAATTTGCAACCTTTTCTTTTCTTAGCTATCTTTACTAGGTAGATAGGTAAGGCAGGTATTATATCTTCAGTTCCTCAGGAAAATATGATGATGTTTCTTTTTGAAGTCCACAAATGTTAATCTGTGTAAAATTATTGGATATTCAGTGTATTTATCAAAAGAAAAACTGATCTAGTTTTAATTTAAGGTCTAAGTAATTTGCTGCATTGGTTAAAAGTTAGTAGCATTTAATAAGATCTAAACAATTGCAAGGAAAATGTTTATGATATTATTACATTTTTACCTGATTTTTTTGTGTGTATGTGAGTATTGGATTGTATTAACTACAGTATTCTCGATGGAAGAAAGAGAATTTATGGAGTTTACAAAGGAATCCAAAGGAATCTCTCATATTCTCATGGCTGTTTTACTTAGGGTCCTTCAGCAACTTTGACACTTGTTACTACAACAGTATTTTTGTAACTCTGATAGCGCCCTGTTATCTTTAGCCAAAGGGAGGTTTGTGACCTGATAGGTACTCCGGCTTTTCAAAGGAAAAGGAAAATATCACAAACATGCAAAGGCAAAGCTCTGAAGTATTAGATGTACCTACATCTTATGCTTCATTTCAAATGGGCTCTGTTTCTGCTTCCTGAGTTCATGTTCAGCATCTGCACAGATGATCATTAATTTCAGAGAGAGAGATAATAAAGTCCTGCATCCTATTCCCCTGGCCTGTAGTTCAGGGGCCATCATGTTGAGGCTTGATGGCAGCTCCCTCGGTGGGGAAAAACTCAAAACTGGACCCATTTGCTTATGTGGGAAGATAGAGCAACTGTCTGCTGCACTAATGTTAGAGTGTTATGTTACAGCAATGAAGTTACAGAGATTGTAATTCACAGTTCAAAAGAGAATAAATTCTTCCTTGTTTTTATAGACAAGAAGGAAGAAGAGTGGGGACACTGGCTCAGAGACTGTGGCTGGATTTTAATAAAGGTTGGATTGCTTTATGGTCCCTAACAACATTTAGATATAAATGAGTTGAGATAATAAGGCTAATCAAATATCACGCTTCAAGTAGTCAGTTCATGGCCTGCAGGGATTGGGAAGTGCTTTTCCTCCATGGTACGGATGTGCTTCATTGATTAGGATTTGCCTGTTCCCAAGGAAGGCTGCTGAGCTAGAGACATGTGAGACTTGCTGCAGAAACGAATTCATAGGGGATCCCATCACTGCTTTGGATATTTTATTTTATCTGAATGCATAAATATTGCTGTAAACCGAACTTTGTCATCGACGTGGGTTAAACAGTACCATCTTACATAGCAGTATTGCTGCATGATCGTGAAAACTTTACTTAAAGTTTGCACTTTGGAGCCGGGCATGGAGATTTACTTGAGCGCGCTAGCAGATTGGCAGTTTTGTGCTGGATCAGCAAGGCTGAACTCACATAATTGCCTTTCCTGCTAGTTTCCCTGAGAGGTAAAGCAACCCTCATAAAAGCCAGCGGTTATAAGCTGAGGCATCTTTATTTCATCCTATTACTTCTTCCTGTTGCTTCCTCCATCTCCAGCTGCCAGTGGCACAGCACAGTGCAGAGCCCGGCCGATGCCACATGGGTTTGTCGTGTTTAAGGCTGGAGGTGAAGAGAAAGTGAAGGTTCCACCTGAGCGACATGACCCAAGGCTAAAAAGATGGTAAAGAGGAAGAGCTCCGCAAGGCTAGAATTGGGAAACATGAGGAGGTACAGCACTGTATCCATAAAATATTCAGAATATTAAAGCAAATGTAAAGATACCATTAAAAAACATATAGTTTTTCACATTTGTTGGGAGTTGGAGGACAGTGTAAAAACCTTATTTGTGCCTAAGCTATTGTAGCTACTGGGTGCCTTCACATAGAGCTGAAATCCTTTCCAGTGCTGACTCTGGCCTTATCCTGCAAACCCCAATATAATCTAAAGCCAGGCTTTAGTGGCTGTCACGCCAATGCGGTGTGAGCTGACTCTATGTCTGTGTGTGAAAGGTCTCATTTGGGGCAATTATTGCAAGCAGAAATCTTAGAAACATCTCTGTCGATCAGAGTCCTCTGTATGCCTTGTATATAGTGGAAATGGAACATAAAATGCAATTTGCTTTCAAATTGCAACTTTTTGCATAAAAGTCTATCATTAACTAAATCGCAGTTGGTAAAAACTTTGTTCTAAAATGGTATAGGATGTGGAGACAAAAGCATTACACATTTTTGGAAACCTGCTTAAAACTTTGCTAGGATTTGGGGAAGATAGGATGGCCCCCTTGTGGAAATTATAGTCTAAACAACGTGGACAGAAATTCAGGAGGGCAGCGGAGGAGGAAGATTCCCATTTTGATAACTTTGAGTTGTATTATTCATAAGAAACACTTCTGATTTTAATTAGATACTTTCAATTATTTTCGAGAAAACTCAAAGTGTGATGTAAAATGGGTCAGTGGTCATGTAAGTTGTCTGTTGTAAGTTGTAAGTAATTGTAATTATTAAATTTAAATACCCTTACATCTTACAGAAAAATTGAACAATTATGTCACAAGACGGAGAGTTTTATGAGAACTTTTGGAGAAGCACAGTTAACTTGGCTTCTTACAGCTCAGCAATATCCTTAGTTTTGGCATGTTGATCAATTAATTGCCATGTTCTCATTAGTAGAATCACCTGAAATCTCTTAATATCCATATTGTCATGTTGGTTATCTTATTGGAAGCAAATCTTACCATTTTTTAGCTAACCTAGATGTTTTAAAGACTCATTGTATAGGGCAAGAAAATGGTTGGGATATCTGAATTTGGTGGTGCTCCATTAATATTCAAGGTCATTATGCTTGATGTCAGTATTAATAAAGACTTGAGGCAAAGCTCAGAGTAAATTGATGTATTTTCAAAGGGATTTCAATTACTGGGACTTTTATTGTTAATTACGTTATTAATTGGGCAGAATTACTATCCGCTGACTCAAAATCCATGGCAGCGAGCAATCCCGGAGAACCCTCATTTCAGCATCCCTGATTTAGAAGCATCTTTAGCTGAATTATTAGTTGGAGATTAGTGGGAGATTTTTTAAGGAGAGAGACTGGATGCTGGCCACTTACAGTAAAACTTATTTTCTGATTGAGCCAGCTATAGAGCAAGACTGGGGATATTTGTGCTACTCATCATACCTAGAAAGAAAGTAAAATGGGATGGTAACAGCTCCTATGAGAAGGAGAAAGAGGATAAAAGGAGATGTTGTGGTAGA